TCATCGTCCGCAGACTTCAAAGTCTGTACTGTCGCCTCAAGGCTTTGGGCGCAGGCTCGCAGATGCTGCTGGGGCACTTCTTCGTCCACTGCTGCTTGCTGCCACTGCTGCTCCACCTTCGCGATGCGAAATGCAAACTCGTGTCGAGTCTCATCCATGTCTTGCTGCTTTGCTGTTGCTTGCTGCAGCTGATCCTCCAACTTCTTGTAGTCTTGCGACGCCCAAATCTGCGCTTTCACCTCAAGGTTCTGTATTGAAGTTTCCACAGCTGCTTGCTGCAGCTGCTGCGCCTGCACTGTCGCGTCACTTTGCAGCTGCTGCTTCTCCAGCTCTGCGACTTTAGCCTGTAGGGCGCTCAAGGCTCTCTCTTGCTGCTGCATCTTGGCCACCTGCTGAACATGAATGAACAAAACGAGAAGACATGCAACGGCTTGAAAAAAGAGCTAGGAAAGTGTGGGTTCCCAGCCCGAGGGACCTCAATTTGGCATATCTCTTGCACCGCTTCGCGAGACTCCGTGCTGCCACCCGGCTGCGCGCTGCCGTGAGGGTCGCCAGCAGATACGGCTTCGCTATCGGGACCTCAGATCCGTAGCTCCGCGATTCCCAGGGGCTCGAAAACCCTCTACTCAAGGAGTATCACTCGGTCCCTCACCTCACAGAACGGACTTCAGCATGAATTTAAGCCGCTCCCCTTAATGAAAGGGTTATGAAGTCTTTAGGTTAAAATTGATGCAGCGAGGCGCACGAGAGGCTCCCTTCCTGCTGGCCACCCCAATCCGGCAAGCATTAGGACACTGCCCATTATTATACTCAGCACAAAAAAATACCGTCTCAACGAACTAGCCCAGAAATGCTTTGTTAAGGCTTCAGGTTTATATGGTAAGATGCATGAAGAAGAGAAGCAGGTAATCACCATGTATGAATGGATGTGCAGAACACTTGCATCTTGAGGCTTTGGAAAGCAAGCAGAAAGGAGAGTAAGTAGAATAGACAGAACATACTCAGTGGCTGGCAAGACAACAACCTGCGAGCCACAACCGTTTGAGCAAAGCCAAGTCGCCTTTGCTGCCAGGAGGACCTACGCTCCCGGCCGGGCACCAAACCCCAGCTTTGCACGGTGTCGGTGCCTCCGAGCCTTCGGCGCCTCGGTTCAGTATCCATGTTTATCGGGCACGGGCTTCATGAGCAGCAAACCATCTAATTTGCTTCTTGAAAAGAACTGTGTAAAATATACCCGATGTTCCCGAGTTCAGGTAGGGTGCAGAAGAAACCCGCTGGGCATTTCTGCGCACCTCCATCTTCCAACAAACCAGCTGAGCAGCGTGCGACCCGCTCCACTGCGCAGAAGGAGCCCGCTGGGCAGGGTGTTGCCTCCCAAGCGCCCACCTGCACGTGGCACTCCTGCTGGAAAGTGGCAAGCTGGCCACGTAGCGCACTGCACTGACGGGGTCGCGGAATCTTAGAACCCCATGTTGCAGCCAGGAAGGCCTCGCCAAGCACACTTGACACCCGGCCCTCGAGAGACCAGCACAGAGGGTCACGCATCTCGCCGATCTTGACCGGCAATGCCGCCTGCGTCGGTGAATGGCGATGGGTCGTGTCACCAATGCCAAGCCGGCCCTGACCATTGTGGCCCCAGGTCCACAGCTCGCCAGAATCCGTGATCGCAGCGGTGTGACCCTTTCCAGCAGCTGAGGCCACGATCTTCTGGCCGTTCACGC